ACTTTTTTCACGACCACTGGATTCGTCATCTCGAAGTCTTACCGCCACTTTTTATTGAATCTCGAACGTCAGAATCGAACGATCAACATTCAAGGAATCCTGATGACGAATTTTGCCCAACGTTTGACAAATTGTACAGCTTGACTTTTGACGGAGGAGACTTTTTTTTTCGAGAGAGAGAACGTTCCTTGAACTTTGACGATTTTTTGAGAAACGAAGAAAGTAGGGTCGTTATATTCGATTGTTTTCTACGAGATTATGACAATTTGGTGCAGTCAATTTTTTTCGCGCAGTCGAATTTAATTACGAAAACGAAATATCACTGGAGAAAGATCGAGAAGACGTAAAAAAAAAAAAGAAACATTCACGAGCTAATGATAAGCACAGTTAGGTGTTTGCTATGCGAAACGCTGGTAAACAAATAAACATTCCATACGATTTAAATTATATTGTACTTACTTTCCATTCCGCCCGATAAATTATATATAATGGAATATTTAAAATACGTGACACGGAAAAGAAAGAACTTTCCAATACAGTTTTCTTCTCTAAGAATACAGGAGTTGACATAACTTTGTCAGCTTCCCCTCTTTGATCTCTCATTTTACAAAACGAAATGAAGCTTCACGAGAAAAAAAGAAACAAATCTGTGACGAAATAGCAAAAATTTGAAAATAGTCTTCAAAAGAAGTATGCAAGAATTTAGGTTAGGTTTAGGTTACGTTTAGTTTCAGGTTAGGTTAGGTTTAGTTTAGGTTAGATTAGTTTATTAGGTTAAATTTAGGTTAGGTATATATACAATTATAATACAATTATAGTTAATTAGGTTAAGTTTAGGTTAGGTATATATACATAAAACATCACAAATAAATAAATAAATAATCATAATAAAAAGGTAAATACTTATAATAAATAATTAATCGTAAATAAATAAGTAAATAATCACAATGGATAAAGGGCACGAATTGCTCCAACGAGAATGGACGCCGAACGTTTGTTTCGACGGTCCGACGGGTTTCGTATTAGAAAGTTATAATTCATAATGAATTCCAAGATGTCGAATTAAGAAAGGATTTCGACTTGTTGTTAGTCGGTCGGTTTGCTGATCGTTCGATTAATCGCACGTAGCAATTCTCGCCACGGCACGTTCTCGATCAATGATACTCGGTTAGACAGCCGAGGATTCGAGTAAAGTCGGAACTGTCTCGCGATCCGACGTTCGGAAAATGAACAGAAGCCTCCTCCTCTTTCTCCTTCTCCTTCTCCGCCGCTTCGACTTCTCGTTCGCTCGTTTAGTCAGAATCCGCGCGCGCGTTAATTCAGGCGCGTTTGCATGGAAGCTACGCCAAGTTAATTAATGAATTATTTTCCACGATAAAGTGGAAAATACGGACACACCGTCGACTTCGCTAATTAGTCATCGCGAGGCACACGCCCGCACGGCTTTCTATTAATTATCGGTGAATCCCGCAAATCGTCAGCTTTTCACGACATACACATTATCGTACATACCACGTACGTACAGCCTTTTTTCCCCGAGAGGGATTCAGGGGACAAATAGATGATGAAGGGCAGCGACGCTGTCTTCCGTTCCTATCATCTCTCTCGTTTCGATATTATCGACGTTACATTTTCCTGCCTCCGATATTCGACGTGGCTCCGAGCGAAAATTGCCACACAGTAATTCACACGTGGCACTGTTATTCGTGAATTCCGTCGTTTGGTAGTATGTCGCGATGTTTCGTATTCTGCTTCGTTAACTTTTCTTGTGAACTATCAAGAAAATGGTTGCAGGCATACCGATATACTCGTACCAACAGCGATGACGAAACTTGAATGCCGCGAAAAATATTTATATGATATTGGATCATGATTAGTGACCACATACACGACGCACAAATGTTTTACAGCGTGTTTAACCTCTTGCACTGGAATGACGTGCTACGCCAACTTTTTGTCCCAAAAATATTTTCTCAGTTTTGAGTATATTATTTAAATATAACCCAGACAAAATAAATAATAAATTTATTACTTTTTAATAATAATTTCTATCCAGTGATATACCGACGAGTTAAGAGGAAGCGACGAATTGTATATGGTTTGGTCACTCGTTATGGTCCGCGAACTAATTGCCAGTGTAAGAGGTTAACTGGATCATATTTGGCGGCTCATATTTTCTCAGTTTTTAATACATTCAAATATAACCCGAAAGACAAAACAAATAATAAATTTATTACTTGTTAATAATTTCTACCCAGTAATATCGTACCGACGAGTAGAAAAGGAAAACGATGAATTATTGGATATACGATTTGGTCACTCGTTATGGTCCGTAAACTTTTAAGACACGTGTTTCTCGTAGTCTGCTTCATGACCGATCAAATTTTCACACCCGAGTTAAAAAGTTAATGAGGTTATGTCTCGTACGACTCTACGATGCACGATACGAGACGAAATTCAGACTGATCGTTCCGTTCCGACGGAACCCACACTTAGTCAAGCCGAATTCTTCTAAACACTTTCACGTGTGCTCGCCAGCGGTGCTATTTAAACCGGCAATCGTTCATACTATAATCAATAATTGCACTATTACTTATCGATAAAAGTTGGCTCGTCAAACTAGAGATTTTCGCAGTTGCGTAGATAAATTAGAGAACTTACAACCAGGTCCTCCGTGAATCTCGATTAATTTTCGGATGCGAGAAATAACATAATTGTCATGTCATAAACTAACACGCGTGTAACAGAAGTATCACACAGGCAACAGGTAGTATGTATTAGAATTCGAGAAATGGAATCATTTTTGTATTGTCTTTCGAAAAAAATGATGCAAAGTTCCTAATCGACTGAATCTATCGATTGAATCTTTCAACCATTTGAAGAGTGGGAAAGTTCTTCTTTGAGAACTGTCTGTAGCCGAGAGTGCACAATTCGGGTTTTCATACACGGTGTCGTGAGGAGGGGATGAGTTAAGACAGAGGCGAGTCGGTCGATATTTCCAGCATTAAAGTCTCTGACTAAAGGATCGAGTCGCATCGCCGGAATAGATTTTAATCGACAACATCGACTCGCCGTCATGCCACGCAGCGACGTTACGTCACCACTTCTTTGATACCTCTGAATTCGAACTCGCCTGGAATGTTTCGCTCGAATCGTTAAACGAGGAAGCAGCGAGAAGATTCGTCTAAAACCCTGGTTCCAAACACACTATTAATACACTATTAATCGTGTGTAGTAGTATTTTTAGATTTAAGTTAGGTTAGGTTGTTTAAGACCGTGGTTCCCAACACACTATTAATCGAGTGTGTAATTTTAGGTTAGGTCCATGGTTCTCATAGAAAGCAATTAGCAGTGAATTTCTTTGCATTTCTTTAAATGAAAATTTAACTTTTGCGCAATATTCCCATCAACTGCTCCTGTCTGTCGTTACGGCAGAAACCTCATACTAAGGAAATAAACAAGTGGCTGCTCTCAGTCTCGTCTTTATTTCATTTTATTACTCTTTTAACAATTTCTTCGAGGTACTTCAGCTGTTCTTTTATTTTTTTTCTTTCATGTTCTTTGGACGTTTCTTCAGACACCAAGTTAATAGCCTTTTCAAATGACTTGCTTCATGTCAGAAATTCACTTTTAAAATAAATAATAAGAATTATGTGTCACAGCGATGGGGCATCGGGATTTTAGAGACGCTTCGGTGGGGCATGGCCAAAAAAAGATTGAGAACCACTGATTTAAGACGAAGAAATATTGCACGAAATTGGCCTGCGAAATTTCGCGATTCTAATTCTCGTAATTCCTTCTCGTGTTGAGAAAGATGCGCGACCAGCCCCGGAGAGGAATTCCCGTAACGTGACCGTCAGTCGGCAGCTTCAATAACTTTTATGTGCCAACTAATAAAAACGCGCTATCGAGGTGGCTTTAATCATCGTTAAATCGATTCACCAAGGCGTCGTCGTCGAATTATTTACGGAAGGAGACGATCGTCGGCCATGAAAAAATACGTTTCTTACACGTGCACGCATGTTACTTACCGGCAGAGAAATTAGGAATGCCCGAATCCGGGAAATGAGAATGACTGCTATACTACTCCAAGATTGTTGAACCTAATGTTCCTTTATATTGTACAGAATCCATCGGTTTTTTCAAACTATTTTTCACAGATGCATTGCTCGACATAACTGTATTAGAAACGAATAGATATGCTAAAAATCAAATAGAAAAATGAATTTATCTCAATTTATCTGAATGGTCTATTTGGAATAATTGGGTTGATGTGACAAAAGACGAGTTGACTGCGTTTTTTGGCGTAATCTTGAACATGGGTATTATGCCCATTTTTAATTTGAAGGATTATTGGACTAAAGAGCACGTTGGAAGCATACCCTTTTCCAGAGATATATTTGCATTGTGTTACTAGTGTTTCTACTCTCGACTAACTAAGCTCGAGTAAAGCGAAAGACCCCAAGAACGAATCGCCAGACGCTCGTTTCTTTTCTCCCCCTTCGCAATCATTCGACAACTACGTCCGGAAGGTTTTGACGAAGGAGAACAGCAACAGAGGGAGGAAGATCCAACTGCGTGGGCAGTGCGCCATTAACACTTCATTTCCGCGGTTATTCTTTCCAAGAACTGTAACCGCTGCTACTTCTCTCGTTCAATTTTCCTTTGCCGCGGAGAATTTCCTCCGATTTTCTCCTCGATTGACTAATGGTCCGACGCGTGATTAATTTATCGCGATAGTTACATTAGCCATTACTCGTTCTCGTTTTTGTTTCTTGCTGCGTTTAACTAAAACAGGATCATTATTTTCTTTTTTTTTTTTTTTTTTTTT